GATGACGAAGTGGAACCAGGTATCAATATCAAGGCAGAACAGGAGAAAGATCAAGATTTGAAGCCAATAATTGATTTTCTAAAAGCAAGTGTTTCGCACCCTGCTTGGGAGAAGGTGTCTAGTCTAAGCCCTGTGATAAAGCACTATTGGGTGCAATGGGACCAGTTAAAGCTTGAAGATGTATTCTTGTACGGAGATGGGAAACTACCGATGGGAAAGTGATGACTTAGCAAACAGTTATACCGATGAAGTTACGGGAAGTCGTGCTGCGTCAATCCCATGATAATTTAACAGGAGGACATCTTGGAATCAAGAAGACATTGAGTCACATACGACAAAGATTTTACTGGATAGGTATGAGGCGAGATGTGGAAGAATGGTGCAGGACATGCGGTACATGTAGTGCTAAAAGGGGACCCAAGCATAAGGGACGCCCACCTTATGAAGAGTTGCCTGAAAATGTGTCAGAGTTTGTGAAAGTGTTATCGGAAAGGATGGATGATATTCACCATCAAGTGCGTTCAAACTTGGAAATGTCTGCTGATTCGATGAAGCTATCTTATGATAAGAGATGTAATGAAGTCAGCTTTGAACCAGGAGACAAGGTGTGGTTGTATAATCCCAGGAAGACCAAAGGGAAGCCTCCTAAGTTGTCTTCCTCATGGGAAGGTCCATATGATATAGTGGATCGTCTCTCAGACGTGACTTTCCAGATAAAATGTGGTCGGCGAGGTAAGCCAAAAGTGGTGCATGCCAACAGGCTTTGGCATTATCACAGTCCAGGACATTTCAGTTGGGATGAAGTGGACAACAGAACAAATGACGCTGCTGATGACGTGCCACCTGAAGAAGCCACCGTCGAAGAAGAAACTCTACTCAGTTTTGAGAAGGAAAACTGTGAAGCTCTTGATGAAGCTACTACCACTGATGTGAGTGTCACCGACGATAGGACATTTCCTGATGAAGCAGATGAACCCCACGTGAAGCAGAAGCCAACAAGATGGAGACCAGTACGGAAGAAGATACGTCCCGTAAAATTAAGAGACTTTTTTGAATTGTAATTTTGTGTTTGTAAATTCTGTACATTTAATTAAGTTATTGTTAATTGTTATTGGTTTAATGTAAGTGGCTATTGTTCGGGACGAACAATACTAAGGAGGGGCAGTGTTGCGTCAGCGAGGTCACGTGACTAGTGTCACGCCACTCGTTCTCTCGAACCTTCGTGAATTGCTGGGACGCTATTTAATGGCTCGGCATGGCCAGGTGATTAAGGCACTTGACTCGCAATCTGAGGGTCGCGGGTTCGAATCCCCGTCACACCAAACATGCTCGCCCTTTCAGCCGTGGGGGCATATAAT